ATCCTATTAAAAATGAATTGAGAAAGTATCTTTTTGGTTTTAGATTTCCTTTAGAATGTCCAATGTTTGTTTGCTGTATATATATTACCCTATTAATGTTTGTTTGCTGTATATATATTACCCTATTATTTTGATAATTTCATCTATTTTATTTTATCTGGCTTTCAAAGAAATTGAAAATTAACAAGATGAAAAGCATATAAAAAAATTTAACAAGCTGAGAAATAAGATATGATTATATATCTTAGGATCCATTAAGATAAATGGGGATCAATGAAAATCTTTTTTTTTTTCTGTCTTTTAGTACTAGCCATTACTAAGTAGATCATCTATATATGATTAAGATTTACAAAGAAATTAAACTAATCATGTTTGTGTTAAACCAGAAAAACTGAAAAAATAAAAAAAATAAAAAAATAAAAACAGAGGTTAGTCAGGACTCAGGAGCATACCTTTCCCTTTAGCTTGTTGTGTGAGAAAAACAGAGTGAGAGCCTTTTGAGTGTTTGGGGGAGAGTCCCAGAGATTGCAGAGTTTTAACCACGCGAGGTGTGACTTTGGTCAAGGAACGGAGAGTGTATATAATATAAGATAGAAAGAACAGACTAAGAAACGCAGAGCTCGTGAATCCAGCTGTAATCAACACTGCCGTCGCTCATATCACTGTTGACAAAGGATAAAGGTTAAAAGCATATATTCTCTGTTACTACCAATTAAGAGTTGAAAGAATATAGTTTGAATTATTTAAATAATTTAATAATAATTTTTTAAAAAATAAAAAATAATTAAAAATTATTTATTATTTAATAAAAAAATAAAGATTATAATTTTAATTAAGGTAAAATGTTTTAAAATATTTTAATTAAAGGTGAAGTTTAAAATTTTAGATATCATAACTTCTTAAATTTTTCTTCAAAACATTATTCTGTTGTCAATTTCTAGCAATTTGGTAGCAAATTGAGTCAATATGATGTCTGTGTGAATGTGAAATCAACAGATCAAAGTGGTTGGAGAAAGAAAAGGGTAGTCTTTCAACTTATCATGAATGGAATAAGCCTTATTTTGCCGAAAAAAATAAAAGTGGCTGATCATTTGTACGAGTCTTTAATTTATCCAGTTATCATTTATTAGCCTGTTGTTTTGAAATTTCCGTATTATATGATTTATATCAGTCTATGATGAAATTAAAAAATAACGAGAT